TGCTCTGATGGCTTTGTTGTTTATGTTGACTTTTGATGCAATGATTGCTGACTTGTTTTCCCCTTTGATTTTTCTTCTGTTGGATTCCCCTTGCAGAAGGTGACTGCACAGCAAGTTAAAAAAAAAAAAGTCTTGCCTGTTTTCTTTTCCTTTTTCATGCTTGGCAATCTCTACATGTGTGTCATGGGAAGGTAAAGCACAGAATGGCATCTAGGTGATATTTAGTCTCTAAATCATTTTAAACAGCTCAAATATTTGGGATTACTTGTGTATGGTCATTAGCTGGTGGTTTTGTCTTTATTTCCTCCCCTGTGCAGTATCTGAACAAAGATGTGAGATATACCTCCCTTCACTCCAGTTAATTATAATCTATAGATAAAATTAGCATTTTGGTTTATATGGAGCAATGGAAAATCTTTGTGTTTGTTTTCATAGCATTAGCAGGCTGAGAGTTCTGGGAGGATAATGTCGATTTGTTGTGCGTTCAAGGGAAACTATTACTGTCACTTCAATACAGAACTTTATCACGTGATTTTTATGTATGTGTAGTCACACTCAGAAGGCTGATAAAAGAAATTAAATAATTCAGTTAACTAACCATAGTCACAAAAGGAAGTGTGCGAGTGGTTGTTTCAGTGAAAAAAGGAAAACTTACATTAATGTAAGCTCTTGTGGCATCTTAGTTATTTGACTGTATTTTCCAACATCGTTCTCTTCTGACAGCAAGTTTCGCATCACTTTACAGTCTGAAATAGCTGCCACTTTCCTTGACTCTTTGGACACTCAAGTGATTTTTGTTATTTAGGTATTTGATGTTGTGTACATACAATGTAGTAAAATTTAAACTGTTCATCAGCCCCATTTTGTTAACTCTTAGATGAGTAGGTAACTTAGTGCCTTTAGAACAGGCTTAATGAAGCAGAGAAAATGCTGATTCCTGGACAAATCTTCCAAAATCCAAACCAAAACTTTGTAATCCTCTGTCCTGCAATTATTCACATGAATGCCCTCATATATAGAAGTTAGTCTCTTGTCCAGTGCTGAAAATTAATTTGGGGCAGTCTTCAGAAAAAAAAATAAAAAAATTCTTGGGAATTTTCTTTGTCTCATGCTTACAGACTTCAGATACGTAGGACAGAAGCCTTAGATAGAGGATGAATTATTTTGCTTAATGTTTGCAGGGTTTTGCCGGGAGATTTTTTGGTGTTTGGTTCGGGGGAGGTGAAGGTTGGGGGGTTGGATTGCTGGGGAACTTTTGGTAGTTTAGGGGGTTTTTAGGGAGTTTTGGTGTTTGAGCTTTGGGGTAGTTTTGTTTTCGTTTTGGATTCTTCAGTGGATTTGGTTTTGAGATTTTGGGGTCTGTGTGTGGTTTTGGGAGGCGCTGTGGGTTTCATGGGTTTTTAACCTGTGGATGAGAGCTATATGGTTTCTACAGTGATGTCCATACCTGCAGGAAGGGAAAAATTGTGTATTTGAGTTGCTGTCACATTTAACTTATGTTATAGAAGCTACTAGCAAATCTAACTATGTGGGGTTTTCTTCTTCTATTATAAAGTATAAACTTAAGAGTTGAATACTGAATTATCAGGAGTTTCATGGTAACCTAAGGATAAGATTGCCATTTGTCTGTAATGTTTTCATGTAAGCCTACGTGACACTTCTAAAGCTTTGGAGTTTAACAGGAATGTACCAAACTACATTAAAATAATGGCTCATTTGCTATTTTCAGTGACACGATACCATAAAATCGTGCACATGGTAAAATTAGCTTGAAACACGGATCTTTTGGTGCTGTCACCGCTTATGACTAATGTGCATCGGGAGAGCACGTTGACAGTGCCGTGCTGTAAATCACAACTTTTATCTAGAAGATACTACTTGGGGTAGTTACTTTGGTGTAACAAATCAGGCTGGATAAAATGGATATACCTAATTCTTAGTTGTCATAGAAATGCAAAAGAGGCTTATGTTTTGTAAGCGCTGTTCAGCATGGAGCAAAGTTTCCAGAAAGTTCATTTATGCTAAGGCAGGGCTATTTCATAATACTTATTTAACGGTACCTTGGGAAAGGAGCAGAATAAAGCGGCGCTCGGGCACAAAGTCCTTTTGCAGCCTCCTCTGGAGAGAGCACAGGGCAGAGCAGCAGTGGCCTCGTTCCTGCGCGCTGAGCAGGGTAACAGCAGGACGCTGCAGAGCTTCCCAGACTGTCGTGGATTTTGCTGTGACACCGAGAGGAAGACGAGTAGTGGGCAAAAGTAAAATGTGTGGAAGTATTTCTTTTCTTTGTTTTTCTGTAGTGGTTTTTCTATTATTTACTTTTTTTGTTTCTAATAGTAAATTACAGACTCACTACTACACGATAATACATGTTTTAAATCCCTTCCAAGGTACACATATAAATTTATACAGATTGGTATTTGATAAATTTTATTTAGTATTAATAAACTAATTTGGCATTAAAATTTCTGTTTGTGACAATTTACAGTGACTGTTCAAATACTAAATACCTATTTAACATGTTTGAGGGACATTTTTGTTTCATTACTTTCGTTGTATTTAGTTTTCCAGCCAGTTATCCTAAGTAGTTCTTAGAGAACATAAGTTCCATAGCAAGAGGAAATTCTTTGTTGCTTTTGATAAGTACATTTTGAAAAACAAAGCCACTTAAGGGCCTGGAGGAATTTTTTTACACATACTTAGGACATGCAGTAATATACTTCAATAGCATTCCAAAGAAATAGAATTTAAAGATAGTTTTGGACCAAGAAGGTCTGAAACCACCTGTAATAATTTATGGGACAGAGAAGAGAATTTCAATGGAAATCTAAAAAAAAAAAAAAAGCCAAACAAGATGTCAGAATTTAATGACTACCTCCAGCATGCGTGCCAAAATTGAGGGACATATTTGAATAGGTGAACTTTTAAATTCCTGAAGAGGACAAGTTATTGAAAGCCAGTAATAAAATACTCTCCTGTGTTTTGAATAGTAAAACTGTCTTTTTAGGTCGATCATGTTTGCATCCTGCTGTGGTACTCAGTTGTTGTGAATTGTCTCAGCTATCGTATTTGACATTTGGTCCCTTAAGTATTAGCAACGTCGATTTTTCTTTTCCATTTGGTTTCATTTCGGCTTTAAAACAAACTGATACGGCATCAGAAGCTCTTATCCAATTTGTGCAGTTCGAGGCCGGACTAGAGACTGAAATCCTTACAGCTCAGGAGGATATGGCAGAGTTGCAATCATACGTGGCCAGTGGGATCTCACACGGTTTTGATTTTTCACATTTAATATAGTCAATTAAAATATATGGGAACAATTTATCTCTGTAGAAACTGAAAAGAAAGGAACTGAGTTATGGAAAAGAAAAATATTGTGTAAGAAAAACCTTTTAGTAAGGGTAATTTCTTTCCCTTTAAATGAGAATTTGTATATGATTAAAGTATCAGAGAATAATTGTTGTTCATATGTCAAGTGAAAAGATTTTTAATTTCAGATCAAGAGATGGACTTCATTACATGCACATCTTTGCATGTTTCTGGAAAATTTTATCTTGTTCTGCTCATCATTTTGCCTGTAATGTTTTAAAAGAGGATATAGTTTGGTCTGACATTTCAACAGGAGATAGGCCTATAAATTTCACTAACTTTTAATGCTCTTTCTTTAAGTCCAACTCACTTAAGCGCCTTTGAAAACTTTATCCTATTGCATCAAAATAGATGTGAAGTTAGTACACTGTTATTTTAGAATTCTAAATTGTCATGAGCCAGTATCAGAAATTATGAGTCCAGGGGTATCATTTTCTTTACAAATATTCTTCTCTGTTTCTTGAAGGATGCAGCTCATATCCCTGTCGATTTACTAAAATGACAGCTACAGAGCGTTGGGGTTTTTTTCCTGATCTGAGGCCAGAACTGCAAAGTCTAACAAAAAGAGCTCGTGGTGTTAATAATTACGTTATGTTACAAGAGTAGAAAAATGTAGGCATTTTTCAGATTTAATTAACATGATCAGAGAGACAGAAAGGGCCTTTAATGGCTGCTAAGCTGATGTTTGGACCATAGTGCTGTAAGTCTCATTTTAGATTCCATTAGCCCCATTTTCGTTCTTGAACCTTCAGATCTGTCTGAATCCCGTTAATCACAGCTGCAGTAATATGCCATAATTCTTGCTTTAACACAATGACAAGGCACAATGATTTTGTGAATTAACAAGCATCAGATGCTTAAGAACAAAGCAGTGGTCAGTTAAGTCATCCATTGCTCTGGCTATATAAAAACTGTGCTTATTAGAATATAAAAATTATATCTTGCAATTTTGATAGTTTGCATCATAAATTACAAGCGTCTCTACTTGCTTGAAAATTGTATATTCACCCAGCTTTCCTTCTGGAACCATCTAATGGGATAAACCCATTGACTGAGCAGTTCACAGAGGAATAAGAAGGCTGCTTTTTAATTTTCTAATTGCTGTTTCTGTATTGAAAGTAAAACTTAGGTCAGGTTGCTCATAGCCTCTTACTTAACTTTGAAGTTAAGCACACTTTGAAGAGGTTGGACTAGATGAGCCCCCAAGGTCCCACCCACCCTAAATTTTCAAGATTCTGTGAAGATGACTTCTTTTTCTTTTTATATTTTTCTTTTTTTTTTTTAACCCTTTTTTTGTTTCAAAAGGAAGGTATCAGGTGATTGAAGGCATAATGTCTCCTGTTAATGATGACTATGGAAAGAAAGGCTTGGTTTCAGCAAGACACCGGGTAGCAATGGCTAAGCTAGCGCTGGAGACTTCTGACTGGATTCGAGTTGATCCATGGGAAAGTGAGCAGGACACATGGACAGAGACAGTAAAAGTATTAAGGTAATTACGTTTGTTCTCTTTTCTTGGCACTTGCACCATTTAAGCAGTTGGATGCATGTGGAAAGCCTCTGTCAATAAAGAGTCTTGCAAAATTGCGGTCACTGAAAGAGTTCTGCAGCAAAGCTCTTGGCTCTTATGTTATTAAGCCTCTAGGCAGGTAATAGAGAGATCTTAATCCTAAAGTAGGGAGTTTACAAACAAGCCTATTCTTCAGGAGTGCCCCTAACCCAGATTAGCTATGTTGGCATTATTATGTCTGCAGGTTTATTCCCACATCGTCAAAAATTTTTCGTATTAACTCTAACGACAAGTTAAACATCAGCAGTTGTGGGCTTGGGTTTTCTTGAAAACCAACAAGTCTGCTGTGGGTTTGTGCTAGCAGGAAAACAATTTGTCCAAAACCTGTTAATTTGATGTGATGACCTCAAAATGTGCCTTTTTCCAATATGATTGGTCTTGGTAATAAATGCGTTACGGGCAACGTCACCTTGTCTTTGCAGGAAACTTTCCTCTCTGACTACACTGACCTATTCCAGTGTGAGAAATAACCGAATAGTCAGTCCTGCAGTATTGGCTAGACATGGGGTTTTTGTCCTGAACTTCAGTTTTCTAAAACTCTTTTCCTCCAGAGAAGCATCCACAAACCGTAAGATCAGGTGAACCTACTTGCAAAGGCTTTGAGCCGGCACAGCTCCAGCTGAAGCGGGTACAATAGATAAAACCTGTACATGTAATTTTCTGCTCAGGGAAAGATGCATCATTGTGGTATGAACAGCCCAACTACCTGCCACTCCAGAAAGGGAACCTCACAAAATGTTATAATGGGTGCCTGTTAAGGAGAGAAATGAGCTTAAAGCATTTTTTTCCCATATGAATGAGCTGAACCAGTGCTGTCAGCTAATGCTGAATCCTGACCCTTGAATGGCAAAGCAGCATCCGGATGAAATAGCACATGTAGGTATTTTGGCTTTATATTGTATTTTAATTGTCACATGTGAATATTAAAAAGAAAAAATAAAATAAAAGAGGTGGCTTTAGGGCTAGATTCTTACCAAGTATAAATAGGTAGTGGATTATTGTGGAGTTGTGCTTTTTCACAAGTGTTGGAGGTTAATTTATAGATTCATTCCTGGTCCAAGAATCAAGAACCAGTTGCTCCCTCCATTATAAGCACCCTCAGGTAGGAAACTTTTGTAGCGATAGAAGGATTTTGCTTTTGCAAGGTAAAGACAAAAAATGTTCTTGTACTACATGTCTCTTCTTATCAATATTTTGAATTGTACACTTAACTGCAGTAGAACACTGTGTCCTGAGACACATGAATGGCCTTTTCCTGCAGTACTTGTTTTACCTGAGTGTGATGAAATTGTCATATTTCATCAAAATCTGTCAATTTTGCAGAGGTTCCCAAATAGTTACGACATAAAAAAATTTTAAGCACCAAAGCTCATAACCCACCTTAAGTGAGTGTGGGAAATCTGGAGACTATCTCAAGGCTTTTTTTAGAGATGAGCAGGGAACATGATAGAGCTATTTCCCACTTAGCTGCTGTTCCTGAATCTTCTTCCTAGACAAGAAAATAGTATTATCAGTAACCAAAGAACTACAATCATTCCTCTTGTATTGTAGATTTGATTGTAGCCCAGATATAATATGGATTAATTTAGAATCTATCTTACCCAAGTCTTGTTGAACTGTGCTTGTGATTTAATCATACATTTAGTCAGAGCTTCATACACTGTTCAGAAAATGCTCGATAACTGACAGATCGGTTTGTCCTGTTTGGTGTATCTTACCAAAGAACTACAATCATTCCTCTTGTATTGTAGATTTGATTGTAGCCCAGATATAATATGGATTAATTTAGAATCTATCTTACCCAAGTCTTGTTGAACTGTGCTTGTGATTTAATCATACATTTAGTCAGAGCTTCATACACTGTTCAGAAAATGCTCGATAACTGACAGATCGGTTTGTCCTGTTTGGTGTATCTTTAAAATAACACAACCCTCATTGCCCCAGAACTTCCAACGTTTTGGCAGTTGAGGTTTTGCAGTACTTGTAACGTTAGTCCTGCAGTGAGCTCTTTGCCAAGGATTCCTATTTTTGAATCGTGGCCCAAGAATGTCAGTCCATGCTACAAAGTTAGTGTGCTCGCCTATACATAGCACCAGCCTGTTTACAACAAGGCAGGATTAAAAATAGAAATGTAGGAAGGCACAGGCCAAGCTACTGCTACCTCCTCCCTACCACCATATGTCCCTCACCTCTTGTCTGGGTACTTTCTTTAGCCAATGGCTGAGCATCAAAAATCACTGCAGACAGTTATGCAGCCTGTCGAAGTATATGTCCCTACTTGTGCAATGTGTTCCTGTGGCTAAAAGTATTTATGTGGTTTGAAGAACGCACCTTTAAATCACTAAACAAATAAATTCCTTCCTTAGGCCAGCAATTCAAGGGGTTCTCTGGCTTTCTCCAGGAACTGAACTCAGCCGGTCCCTTGTAGCTCATAATCAATGCTCTGAAACACCTGGTGGCCACGTTGGCTACACACAGACTGGACAGAAATGAGACACTGCCCCTTGAGCCCGTGGCTACTTGTCCTGTTTAACCAAGAGCTTGTTTCCTGAAAAGATTTTGACTCATGCCAACAAATCAGCAATGCTGATTTGGAAGGAGTTTAGGGGTTAGGATTTAAGACTGGCACTTGCCCTCATGATCAAAGAAGGGGCCGCAGCCGTGACATAAGAGCGCCAGTATTACCCTGGGCCACTGGTGACCAGGAGCAGCAGAAGAATAAACTGAAAAAAATGACAAAAAAATCCTTGCCTGCCTTCATGGATCTGAACTCGGTAAAATTAGAAGCATAGCAGATGTCAAAAAATCTGACGAGGACTGTTTCTCAGGATTGTGATTCTGTTAATCAAAACGAAAGGGAAAACCATAAAGTGGAAACTTGGGGAAAATTTTCTGTGAAGAGGGTGAGCAAGAACGAGAACGTCTCCTCCTGAAAAGTGAGCACACATTACAGAAACATCATCAAAAGGGGTTGTGTTTCATCAAAAAATTAAATCTAGTGATCGAAGTGTGATTTTAATCCTGTTTCAGGCAAAATGTCCACCATGTTTTAAATGTAATGTTGCTGCCAAAATTGCTATAATGGTCAAATTTCAAAAGGGAATTGAAAACCAGAACGCCATTACCCGAGGTTGCTTGTGAATTCTGCTACAAGTTAACTACCTCGATACTAATCTCATGGTAGAATGAATATGCTAAATTCTTACCAAATTGTATTCAAATCCAAAGTGCATAAAAGCAGACTGTGTTCTTGAATCTGAAAGTGCCAGGTAATCGCTTTGTCCATCTCTGAGAGGATTACCTCACACAGAAGCCTTTATTTTAAATGTAGGCACCACTACAATGAATCCCTCAGATTGTTCCAGTCCAAGAAGGAATTCATGAAAAACAAACCGCCCACAGAAAGATCTACAGAGGATTCCCTTTCTTCGCAGCACTCAGGTTGGTTCTTGACTGCAAACATGACTCTGTTCAGCATTAAAAACAATACAGCTTGACTAGACTAACTGATGAAGAAGTTGAACACAGTAGCTGGTAGGTTTTGAGGGTTGGAGCTGCCTGCCAAAAACAAGCCATGCCAAATGCCAGCACGACTGCTGATGCACTTATGCTCCCACAGAAGCAGGAGTTTTGTTTTGGAATTGTTCATGGTTATAGAAAAGTTTCCAAAAGTTGAGTTGTTATATCTTTCCAGATGATAGTGAAAAAGAAGTGTCAAGGCATTTGGAATCTTGGGTCTGATGGGGTTAATGATTTTTGGCAAGCGACGAGGCAGATTAATCCACATCACTAGGCTAAGGAAAATTAATGTGAAAGTAGTAAAGACTATTTTAATTTTCCATTACAAAAAATTCTTTTGGCTGTCTTTAGTATTTTCAAGCTCTATGGCATTTCATTTAAAAATGGTCAAAACCTCCCAAACATTAAAACCAGTCTTTCTTTCACAGTAAAGATGCTTAGTTCAGAATTCATCAGCCATCACCACAGGATTCCTCTACAGTCAGAACCAAAAAGCATAGCAAAAACAGGATGAGAAGGAGGACAGGCAAGAAATAGGTTCCTCTATTTAGTATGTAGTGGCTGGATAAATTTATTTTAATTTTTTTTCTATCTGGCAGCTATCCGTGATCTGTTACTTTGAACAGACAAAGGATATCATACTGTTGTTACTTACTTTTTCTGCCTTCAGCGCTTTGATGCTTTCCATGTGTAGGACTTGCAGGTGTGCCAACCCTCTACCACCACAAATAAATGTAAAATGGAGAGAAGTCTCCATCCTTCCCCTTCATTTCACATGAATGCAAGGCTGCAAAAATATCTAGTCAATGCTTGTAAAATACTCAGATGCATAATCTTGAGCGCTATGGAATAAACGTTGAGGAGCGAGATAGTTCGGTGCTGCAACTCGAGCAGTGGGCAGCAGACACGAAATGGAGAGAAAACAAAAAAACTTGTACTAGGGAAGTATTATTCTTGTCATTATTCAAGGTACAGCAAATTTAGCTTTTGATCTCCTTGTTGTAGAATGAAAATGCCATGGCCACATGGCATGATGCATTATTTATATTAAATATTACACACATGACATGAAATATTACCGGTATAAGCCCAGGCAAAATGCGAGGTTACTCTCTAGCTAATGTGACAGCAAGAGCCTCGCTAGCTGGGGCTGGTCCCACCGACCTGAGCAAAGCGAGCAGGGCAGGCTCAGGTGTTGAAGTCAGGTTCAAGCAAGCCTAGCCTTTGTGCTAAAATAACTCTTCTTCCTTTGCTTCTTCCCCTTTTTGGCTTGCCCGAGCAGAGGAATAACACTCTTTTAACGTTGTACAGATAAAATTAATATGCTGTGAGTGATGATGAAGTAGGTGATCAAGTAATTAAAAAGCACATCTCTCATTTTCTTTTGTCTTTCCAGTTCTACCTGAATTAAAGCTGCTCTGTGGGGCTGATCTTCTACAGACATTTAAGACGCCCAATCTCTGGAAGGAAGAAGACATCAAAGAAATAGTGGGGAAGTTCGGTTTGGTCTGTATCAGCCGTGCTGGCTCTGATCCTGCTCAGTGTATCAAGGAATCAGACCTTTTAACTACATTTCAGCACAATATCTTTCTGGTGAAAGAATGGATTCCGAATGAAATCAGCGCAACGCAAATACGCTCTGCCTTGTGTAGAGGATTAAGCATAAAATACCTCATACCAGACTCTGTCATATCCTACATCGCACACCACAATATTTACACAGAAGAGAGCGAGCGGAAGAATGAGGGGGACTTGCTCCAGCCTCTTAAGCTGCATAACGCAGCAGTAAACCCACTAAATGTCTGATGGCTCTAGTGTGTCAAGTGGATAGAGCTCGTATTTTTTATGTGGTGTTCCTGAGAAAGTTGTTTCTTGTTAACAAATGGAAAGTACAAAAATTTCTTGAGTTCATGGCGTGTTTTAAATTCTTGGGTTTGTGTGTGGTGGTGCTTAAGCAAATTGGGATGCTCAGCTGCGTAGCTTAAAATGTATAAAGAACAGCTTCCTTGTGAAAAGAAAATAAATAAGAACTTAACAATTAATATTAATCTCCAGTAATACTTAGGGGTCAAACATAGTGCTTTCCTGAATTGTAATTCTGTAATCCTACAGGCAGTTTTAGCATGATGATGCCTTACTGTTCTGAAGCAGCAAAACAAAACAAACCATAAGTTTAAATATATATACCTTCTAAACTTTTACATTTTAGGACCCTGAATAACTTCTTGTGTTTTGGCATTTTGGACAAGAGATGGAAATAAATCTGTCTTTCATGCAAGCACTTAAAAATGTATGCACCAATCATGTCCCTTGAAAGCTTCCAGATTCACAATCGGTCCATTTGAAAATGCACAGTGGAAAATAAATGAAAATAATTAAGAGGGTGTCTCAGTATCCGAGCCCTAAAGTTAACCAGAAGAATCCACTCTTTTATATGCTGGTTACCTACCCTGTTGATTCAGTCTAACAGAAAACACCTTCACAGAATATGGCATCTCTAAGAAGTGCTACTTCAGTGTTTCATTGTTGCTTAAATTAACTGAAAGCAGTAGGAATGTAGCATTTGACAATTTACAGACTTAACTAGTGCTTCCCAATACAGGTTTCCACCTAACGAGCCCTTTCTCAGTCCTCAGCTGACCAAACAGGTTCCACTGGTACTTCTCTAGGATTAAGGAGCTTGTGGAACAAGTTATAGTGCCAGACACAAATTGCATTCACTGAAAGAGTCTACATGATCATTTTCTAAAAAAGAAGGCATAAAGTAGCTGAAACATATTAAAAGAAAAAGGATTTGCCTCAAAAAACCACACTAGATAAGAATTTGTATAGCTTTGGCTAATATCTTAAACTAAAGTTATTTCAAAGGTGGGTTTTTTTTCTGAGTGATATGAAAAATGAAGAGTAATGTGGTTAAAATGGTTCTCCAGATAATCAACATCCTCAGAGAAGTTCTATGGGAGGCAAATGTTTCATTCTGTTTAAATCAAGTCATCCTGCTGTCATTAGAAATCTCGGAGGTTCAGCCTTGTGGAAGGATTTAAAGGCAACACTTCAACAATAATCGGATTAGAAGGACTTGCATAGCTACATGGTCTAAAAAAGAGATAAAAGAAACCAGAGTTCACACTCGCCACAAAGGAAGGCAGTGAGCTGTGTGGTGCAGAATCAACACTCTGGTCTGAGACTTTGATTTTGACAATTGCCTACAGTAGGGATGCCTGCAGATTTCAATGGTTACTGGAAAATGGTCAGCAATGACAATTTTGAGGAGTACCTGAAAGCACTGGGTAAGGTTCCCTTCGTGTTTCTTTAATAAATAATCAATAAGTGCAACCTGTCTTTATCTTTACCTTATTTTTTTCTTGCACAATCATAAATCATTTTTGTGAGAAATATTTTTTTCAGGAATGCACTTTAAGAATTGCCTTATACAAAATTGTTTTGTCCTAAGCAGCTTCTACTTTTTACCATCTTGAAGCTTACATTAACAGAGATTAAACTACATAGCTTAAAGAGGTAAGTGGCAGATTTCAAACTTTTAAAAAAAAAACAACAATAATTTGAAAAAGAGTAAAATTTGTATGTGTAATACAAAGAGACAATTATGTCCTTAATGCAGTTTTGAGGCATTTGGTGTAAAGTGCTAGTATTTCTATAGGAATATTGAAGGCCTTCTTAACTGTCAAATCCAAATGGTATTTTTCAAGATTCCACATACTCATAAAATCAAAAGGTGAACTTATTTAATTTAGAAGAATTAGGTTATGGACTTTTTCCTAAGGAGAAACGTAGCCTGAAAGACTTGGACATTTATTTATCTCTATTCATTTTAGTTCTCCCAAGAGCTACAAGCTTCTTTTTGTGGTAGACTTTTCTGGATTAGAATAATTCTTTTTTCTTTTTCAGATGTAAATGTTGCCGTAAGAAAAATAGCAAACTTGCTAAAACCTGACAAAGAAATCCTTCAGAATGGGGATCATATGATCATTAAAACGCTAAGCACATTTAGAAACTACATCATGGAATTTGATGTAGGAAAGGAGTTTGAGGAGGATTTAGCTGGGGTGGATGATCGCAAATGCATGGTAAGAATTAGAACTGTAACAACGGACAAAACCAATAATATTAATAATCTGAAGCCTTTCACAGACCACATCTGTGTGGCTATTCCTAAAATTATTTCTGTACTTCTCGGGATGCCAATACGTGCACACGGTGTTTAGCGTGCCTTCACATCAAAGGAACGCTAATTTTAATCAGGAGCACAAAACAATCTTATCAGTGAATGAAGAGTAACGTCAATGAAACGTTGCTCGATTATACTGGGATATTTGTTTGTCAAAAAGACATTTGGGTTCAGACTTTCAGAATGTCTTCACTGAGTAATGTTTTACAGGAAAGGCAATCCACTGGTTGCAGGGCCGGGCACTATTCTCTGTGTGTAAGAATGGCCAAGTGCTTAGAAATTGCGGCTTTTCTTTCTTGTTCCTGTGCTCCTTCCTTCCTGGGTGTATTTATTAGAGCAGATGCGTTAATTAGCCTACTGGAACAAATCTTATCGCAATCAATATGCAAACACTAAGGACTCTGCCTTATGAGCTCTTCTTGTTTGCCAGAGAGACATTTTCTTACTTATGACTAATCAATACCAATTAACAGGGGAAAAACTTGAGAATACCAAGTTCTCTCCATTTGAAAGCATGACACTGGCAATATCCTACCGTGACAAAGTTGATAAGCAAAAGAAAGTCCTCTCAGGAGGGATTGTAGAGGAGAAATCACATAAAAGAGAATTAATAGGTTTCCATTCTTAGAGACTGCCATTTAAAACCGATACTATTCTTTAGCACTAGGGTATGCAAATTTGTTTTTTCTCCAGTGATGGCAGGAAAGAAAAAGATCGTGAAGATCAGAAACGAAGAATGGCTAGCTAGTGAATGCCTCAACTAACCCTTTCCAAAAAACCCCAAGGGGTAGTCACTAACCCCCATTGTTTTGTTAAGAAGGGCAGTTAATTCCACAAAAACTGAGAAATCCTCTGAATCCCGTTATGATTTTTGTTGTTATGTCACTTTATGTTATGGCCTCCAACAACAGCTGCCAGCTGCAGCTGTACAGTTAACCAGCCGCTGGTTCTCTATTTGTCATGTAGCAACATATTGTACTTCATAATCCCATTTTCTTATTAAAGATTTTTTCCTATAGGAGGCCTCAGTTTTCTCAAAGGTGAAGCAGCCCAAGAACCTTCTTTCTGAAGCCACTTCAGCCTAAATCTGATAACCGTAATGTCAGGCAAAACTTGCAGTTCTTAAGCAACTAAAGAGCTCCAATGGTCCAAGAAAGAGTCTTGCGAGAGAGGGGTCACGGAGTTGATGTAAGAGATAGTGGACCACTCCCTGAGTGGTGTTATGAAGAAAATCACCATAAAAGCAAAGGTTGAATACCATTCCTGGTGTTCCCTTTTCTCATCTGGAGCTTGTGAAACTGCGTGCCATAAATGGCTTAATCATTAATAGTCAACCTGTGTAATGGGAGAAATTGTAAATCAATTATTGTTACTTACATTGTAGACCGAGCAGACCACTGGGCAAGTTTTATCCAAGTAGTTCAATGTATTAAAAGTACAAAGTAACGTGGATAAGGCAAATTACACATTAAACATTAATGTATTTAGCCGATCAAACATCAGGAGACTAGCAAAAATAACCTTAGAAATAATTCATCCAATAGGTATAGAACTTTTTTTCTTTTAATGAAGAAATATCGTCTAACAAGTGTTAACATATTAGTAAAAATAATATTAGCGCAGTAAACAGGCTAGCTCTCCTGTAAAATTCACCAAAATTGTTTTCACCTTTCAGAGCAGAGTGTACCTACAGTAATGAACACTGTGATGAGTTAAGGTTAAAAAATTTTGCTGATACTTATTTTAGAAGTAAGTTGAAGGTTTGACAGTAGGAGTTGATACTCCTGTGGTCCCTTAGGAAATGCAGACATGACATCTGTGCTTGCCTGCTTAGCTCCATAATGCTATCGTGCTTCTCCTGGAGCTTGTCCTGAGGGATTTTATCTCCTAAAGTTAACTAAGAGTTTCTCTGTTTGTTTGGCAGTTTCGTGAAAGATGTGTTCCCATGAGGTTAATGACACTTAATATTTAGGGTTGTTAAAAACTTGGCAGTTTGAACTGCAAGAGTAAAATGAAAGTTAACATTCAGGAGCATCTTTTATTCTTTGCACACGTTGCAAGGTGTGCATTAAATGGTGTAGAAAGAAGTTTAGAACATTAATTTTGTATTACATCATTTCTCATACGATGTGAAGTTTGAATCAGACCATGTGATAAAGTTTTTACTGCTTTGAAGAGTATATTCGTGGTTTTAACTGGTAACTTATATCAGATGTGTACAAAGACAAAAATTCAAAGTTAAATGGCCAGCTATGCCTTGGGTATTTCCTGAACTGAGTATTTTATCATTCTCAGTGAAGATCCAAACTCATAATGAAATTTCCTCAATCTTAAAGATAGATTCTATAATCCCGGGTTGTGATTAATTTAGTGAGCGTCTCAGGTATCGCACTAAGTGTAAACCTCAGGCACATAAACTTGACTGTGAAAAGAATTTACTGTGCACGAGACAAGAGACCTTCTTGAAACAATTGAAAACAATCTCCAAAAGTATGTCTCATTCATATAGAACAGTAGAATTTCTTGGATAAAACAGCATTGGTTACATTAGAACTGAATATTTAGCTAAGCAGTAATTCAGATCCCTGTGCTCTTTGACATACTAGTTTTTTTCTTACATTGAAGCAGAAAAGTAACTGACAACGCCTCCAGACTGGTAAACAGATAAAACAGCAAAATTTTGAAACTGAAGGTGGGAAATTCTACATATTAACCATTCAGTTAACCAAAACAGAATAATATGATTAATAAGTTATCAAATGGGTGTTTAGGGTTCCATTATTGGAATTAGTATTACTTCTAGTCATAGGTGAAATTTTCTGGGCTGGGGTAGGGAGAAGGGGATTTAAGAGTTGTAGAATTCGCTCTTCAGATCTTCCTGAAAACATATGGACATTCACTGTTTGAGCCAGCCATATAAGGACTGGTCACAGGCACCTGACCAACCCTTCTGTCACACCAGCCAGTGCTAGTTACAGATGCTGTACCCTAGTGAAAGGAGGTAAGTTGTCTGATCATGGCTTTGTTCTAAGTAACAAACATGCCTAACTTGAAACCATTCTTCTGTAGTTTGTATTCAGGAAAAATGTGCTGAGGTTTAATTGTTCTGGAGGTAATTTGATTTATATTGCTTCAAGGTCAGAATAAAGCCCTGTCATAAAATCACTTGGCTCATGAAGCTTATTTAACCATTTAGGCAGGGTTCCTCTGTTCCACACAAGGAATTCACAGCTGTTAATCTAGTTTAGAGTAGGTATTGGTATGAAGACTTTGTTGGCAGAAAAACAACAACCAACGTTTTACTTAAAGGAGGTAGTCTTCATGTAGTTTCATGACTTTACAAACTGCTGTCCGCAAGTGAGGAAGAACAGCCCTACAGTCAGCCCCTCTGAGGCTCCACTGGTCCACTCTTGGATCTGCCTCAGGCTCTAAATCTCTGGTTTATTCAGTGTCTGTGCCCCCATAAAGAGGCTGTTTCCTTTCTTTGTGCCTTGTTTCACGCTGCATGCTCTCTTGGCATTACTACTTATTACCTGTAAGTGATATGCTCAGCACATTTGCTCAGTGCTATCAAATGAGATCTTTAGAATCTTTTGCCATATAATTTAAGATGTCATTAACTTCAAATTTTGCAGTGTTGGGTTCATACTAAAAACCCAGGGCTCACCAGAAGCTTTGAGCTAGTCATCCACGAACCCACTGCTAGCATTCTGAGGCTTTGCAGGGGAGGTGGTTTTGGACGGGCTTAGCATTTCAGATTTTGTGAACCATAAAAAGCTCAGAGAGTTATAAATATAAAAAGTGCAGAAAGAATCAGCTGAAAACATGAGAACCAGACATACCAAATCAAATTTTGAATGACAAACCATTAGTGTTCTGTACAATTGCATCATGCTACAATTACACAGAGGATCAATCACGTATACACATTAATTTAAACAGTAAGTGTCATAGAATTGATTCTGATCCCTGCACAAAGTGAATTGGATGTGCTATTGTGTACTTTTTTTTTCTGGCATACAATATACACGAGCCTTCCTATTTTTGCACTATTTGTATACAACTTTATTTCAGTAAGAGAGAAAAAATCCACCATTCCTAAAAAATAAAACACTGTGCACTGTCCAAAATAGTGAGTGTGCTCCTCCTCCCACATGTTGTCACGGGCATAGCCTGGAGCTTTGGCACACTTACTTTCCTACTGCCTGGAACACGTCTCTAGTCATTGCTTTCCTTCATTGCTTTTATGAGCAAGGATTCAAAATAAGGAATTTGATTATTTAAGATCTGATCGTGACAGCAGTTTACCACTTGATCTAAAATTCATCAATGCAATCCCGAGCCCCTTTGCTGGCAATGGAGGATGCTGACAGCCACAGAAGCAAAACACTGCTTCTTGAAGTGTCTCATCTTCTGAACTTCAGTAAGTTCATCTGGTGGTTGCGGAATGCCCACGTTACAACCCGCTTGTCTTTCAGTAACAATCCGAGCAGGTCTGTAACGGCATCAACACGTTTCAGAGCCCTGTAGCAACAGATGCCTATTATGAGACATCACATCAGCCAGCCCCACAAGCAGCTGAAAACCAAGTTATATCTCCCTACCAACCATTGCCTATGAGTTAACTTCGGGAGTTCTGCTGCTGCGTGGCTAAAAACAGCAAAGATGAAATGGGAGGTCAGATTTATAAGTGCTTCTGTAGGGTTGAACTGAAGTTAATGAGCTAGCTAGAATGACCTAGCTAGAGGACGGCTAAATATGTGTAGCCTTTGTCCAGCAACAGTATCTTGAGATAGTCTCCAAATCCTACCACTAATTCTTCTGTTGGGTTTGTTGTTTTCTCAGTCATTTTTCTGTCTGTCACCAAGCTACCACATGTAGATGGGGTGAGGTAAAAGGAGTTACAAGAGAGATGACAAGCCCTGAACGTGGTTGTAGCCCTCCTGTTAGCAGTGTGCCGCATGTCTCCTACAAAGAAGGTCATAGGTAGTGACGACAATATTACAGAACGCTCCTTCACGGTTACATTAGATTTTGTCTGTGATACCAACATTACTTTATTGCATCGGCACTTCATTTGATGGAAATCTCCCCTGCAGACTGCTTACCAGAGGTTTTCGTATCACTGTGATACTTAGTGCAGATGAAAATGCTTTATCTTGAGAGGTTATTAAATATCATGTTGGATATATTGCCATGTTTGACCAAAAATTCTAGGATATTTTCTTCGGTAAACACAATACAGGGCATAGCTCAAATTGGATTTTCCAGCATCATCTGACCTAAACAATTGCTTTCCAACGTTTAATCCTTCTTAAATCATAATTACAGTTGTAAAATGACTGATCATTCTCATAACCGGAGAATTGCCGGATTGACAAGGAGCAGGGAGTGTGTTGTGCAGTTTTAGAGTACTGCAGTTATTTGCTGCACCATAATATAGAGACAACACTCTGAAGAGAAGTAGAAGAAAAATAGAACTGGTACTGCTGTGTTTCTCCTGCGGATGAGAAATCAATAACATCTTTTTGATGAAAGGTGCTGGCTGCAATTCATATTTGTAAATGCAATGTGCCAAAAATCTATGTGGTATTAACAAAAAAATGTTCATGGACTATTTTTTAAAAAATGTTATTTTCTGTCATTCACCTGTAAAATACATTTTGTATCCTCCACTGCAGAGCACATGACACAAGCAGACATGCTAGGAATAGCCAACATGGGAATGAGAAACACTGTGCAGAGCCACCATCAAGTATTTTTGCATTTAGACCTTGCTGGGAAATGCAAAGGTCTCTGACCAAACAGTTTCAGTAGATTGCAAAAATCAGTGTCTCTGGCCATGGGTCACTAAGAGTTGTCGCTAGAAGCAGAGTGCTATCTGCAAGACTTCACTACTGTTACTGCTACTAGAGAAAACGTAAGGACATAGTCAATAGATTAGTTTTGGTTTTGAATATTTCATTCAATAAATCTACCCTGTTTCATAACTGAAAACAGTAATAATAACACTTTAATCATCATTTCTTCTAGCTTTAACTTTCAGGTAGATGGTGTTGCTATTCACGTGTATTTAAATCTTAACACACAGAGCTTAAATCCACAACAAAAGTGCATGACTGGCCAAGAAATAAAAGGAAAATATCAAAGTACACAACAAAAAGAGGAGGAGTACAGAAGTCACATCATAAAACTGAAGAAAATATGAACATTTTTTGTGTTCTCAGGGTTCAAAAGGCTTCTTCACCTCCCAAATGAGCTGCATACTCTATTATTGAACCTCAAAAAGTATATAATCCGAAACATGAGCAATATTGGTGGTTAGAATTTTTGAGAAAAGTTAAACTGGGGCAAGGCTCACTCTTACGTATCTCACTCAGTTAACTTTTCTTGTGCTTCTTCAGTATTTTTAATCACTCTATTGACAAATTGCGTAATCACTACTTTCTGTTGAAGTTTCCTACGGAATTACATGCGTTTGAACTAAGTGGTATTCGTCGGGTATGATTAGGTAGTAAGGAAGTAAAACTTAAGGTTGCTTATGATGAACTAGGTTCTGTAGTACCTAGCTGAAAGGAGTAATTGAAGTCTTCCATTTATCCCACAAAATACTCAAAAAGGCAGGAGCCTTCAGTTTAGAGAAATACTACATTTTCATGGAGTTCGTTCTGTTACCATCAGGAAATTGCTGCTTTCCAATGACCTCAAAGCTTGTCTTCTCCTCCTCTTGTTTGTTGAGGAAGATGAAGGATAGAAACTGTGTGCCCGGGGATGCTGTGTTCACCAACCCTGGCAAAGATTTTCATTCACTGCAGAGAGGAGAGAATAGCTCAGTCTTTGTAATCAGGCAAGCCTTAGGTAATTTTATTATTGAAATGGTGGCAAGCAAGGTTAATTATAAAAGCTCACTTTTGCAAGAAAAGTTGTTTTACATAAAAGATAAAGCATTTATCTTAGCCTATTCAAGTGCTTGACTCCTAATTGTATGATGGCAATACCCTGATCCAATCTTTAAAAATAAATTTTCACTCTTATATACAGCACAAGAGATGATATTTACCAACAGTTGCCCTATGTTCTGTATTGCTGTATCTTAGCTGTGGGTAAAGGGTGGACTATTAGCAGCAGACAGCCGGTGTAGAGCAGCCTTAGCAACCCCAACCTCTGTGTGTCTCAGTAGAGGTATTTGGAACGGAAGAACTTATTTCAATCTGAATTAAAAGAGAAGTTTCTACCTTCTGTATTAGTTGTGTCTTTTATTATATGAGACATTACAGTTTGACCTAAGAAAGAAAAGATAAAAATGCTACTGATTAATCTTACTGTCATAAAGCGGTTGTTCCTGCTAAAAAAGAGGACATTATGTTCTCCTGCAATATATTCTGTCCTTTATAACCTTCATAGCCACATACAAAAATCAGAAAGTGTATAGTTTACTTATATCCCTTCAGTACTTACATTTCTCAAAGTGAAGGCAGAGGATGATAACCAAAAATACTGGCTGATAAAACAGCTTGGTTAACGGTCTGTGGTATTATACCCTTTGTGGTTATCACCAAATTACTGAAAGCAGTATCTAATCTTGACTGGAAAAACAGGAAAACCAGAGAAAAAACTGTGTTGTTTCCTGAGGTGAAACAATTTCAATCACCCTTGGAGGCTGAAAACGTTAACATCTTCTTATGCTGCTACAAACATGTCTCAATGGCCCCCAAGTGTACTAAGCTGGTGAATATTAATGAATGTATCAGAAAATTAACATGCCTGAATAGTGTTCATTTTCAGATACATTATTGTTTTAGAATAATTAGAAATTCTTAGCTATGTTAATTTATAAATTAAACATTCTTCACTTTGACTAGTATTATTTGTTGTGTTCTATCTCCAACTGGTCATCTACAGGTTTGAAATAGATACAGAACAGGACTTGAACTGTGAAGACCACGTTAACTACAGCTTTACCCAAATGCATTGTTCCTTCCTGCATTAGCATTTTACACATTAAAAAGATATGGCTTTTTTTTTGAAAATGTGATCTACTACTTGGTTCAAATGCATCACAAGAGTGAACAGAAGAATTTGCAAATGCATTTTCCAAACTGGGTAATTTTAGCAAGGACACATGAGTTTGTCTTTCAGAGCCCCCATCTGGTGCAAACAGACTATACGGGATCAATAACAATGGCTTGCCTATGATTATCTCTGCTGGCACTCTTTCTGGTGATTCATTTTCCATGCCTGTTTAGTCTAAAGCTTCCCAGGGGTGGAGACCGCTGGCTGTACTCATTTAAAGATAGTGGCTATCACGGTTATCATTCAAGAATTAATTGTTTGTGACATAGACAAATTAAAGAAATAGGGCTGCGGAGCTCTTGGATGTTGAACTGGGTTTAGTTCCTGGAAGGAGGAAGGTAGGCTGACTTCTTTGAAACTATGTAGGATGGATGCAGTAAGTTTTCCTTTAATGATAGATCAGAATTCATCTTCTCTCCATATTTCACTGCTCATACAGGCAGCGTCTGAAGACTTGTACAAGGCAGACAGGAGTTCAGACAAGCTGCTTTAAGAGCCATGTGCTATTCTTAATGCTAAACTATCCTCATGGAGCACAAACTGTCACTGCTCTTCCCCTTCCTTAACTATTTTACAGAGTATTACTTCTCTTTATCTTAGGAAGACATGAAAGGCAAATTGTCAGTCAGACTAACCAGAGTAGGATGCACCCTCATACATTTTTAGAAGTTTTATGAATCAAGTCGTGCTGAACTACGCAGGGCAGCACCAATATTCACACAAAGTCTATGCTGAACCCTCCAGCCCCTCACTGCAGCACCTCACTCTTCTTCCACCAGTCCTGGCTCCAGGTCATTCTCCAGCACTGCAGCAAAGCAGGACGCTGGCAAAGTTACCAGTTTACCGATATTTCCAAAGCACTCTGCTCAGTGACGGAAGGCAGATTAAGACATAGGGGAAAAAAAGCTTTGCTCATCCATAGTAGACCAGCTGGGAAATCCTCCCTGTGGTGGAAAAGCCAAACTGCATCTCAAGTTTTCAGCTCCTTTTGCAAATGCAATGTTAGCCTGCCCATCTCTTCTGCTTCTGCGTTTGTCAGCAAGCTCTTGCTCAATGATTTTTGTGGGGGTTTTGTGTGTGTTTTTTTCTTGCACTTAAACAGCTTTATCTCATACTTCCTGGTTTTGAGAGGCAGTTGGGCAGCAACTTCCTGTTGAAGTTCATTTATTTTGTTATTATCCTAAGTGTTACAGCACTTTGCAATTACCCTTGTGAGATACTTTAATCATTTACTATATTAGAGAGTTTTGCCTTAAGGAAACTAATCTTAATATCAGAGAATACTACGGTAACACTGAATGTGTCTATTTTGTCAGACCACCGTATCTTGGGATGGAGACAAGCTCCTCTGTGTACAGAATGGAGAAAAAGAAGGTCGTGGTTGGACCCAGTGGATTGAAGGAGATGAGATGCATCTGGTAAGATCATGTAACAGGTTTTAAATGCCACTCTATGAAAGTGGTTAGATGTAAAGCAGCCGGCTGTGTGCTGTGTTATCTTGGCTTCCTTTGACATAATTATGTATTGGTGCAGCATTTGACTTGTTTCTAAAGCAATAATTTCATTTGGAGCCATTGTGCTTTCATGTCCTTTACAAAGACTGACTGATTTCAAAGCACTGCTCTTTCTGTGTTAACTGTCCCTCCAGACACACCAGTTTGAAATGTTTACACTGAGGAAGACATTTAACAGAATGTCCTTCACACAGTCTGTGAATCGCGCAGTATGGGAGCTGGTGAAATTACGCATCCAACAACAAGCCATAAGGGCAAAATGCACCATTGTTCTTTTAAAATAATTACAGGCCAGACCGCATTATAGCCTACAGAACTAAAACAGCAATTAAATTTTTGAAATGTCATGTTCTTCCAGATCATCGTTTTTATCTTTCTAACTTAACAGGACCTGAAAGAAGATAGCTATTCCTTTCTCATATAGCTCTTTATAGCATCCTCTCTCTCTCATCAGCGTGGGTAAAAGGCAGTCTTCCCGCTGAGACAATAAAATCCAACCTCCATTGCTGTTCATTAGCATTCAGTGGTCTAAATGGATGTTCTTTAAATATTCAGATCAGGACCAGAGTTACGAAATCTTTGCACAAGTACCCCAAACCCGTTATTACTAAACACGATTTTCAGAAAGTGCCGGAACTCCCAGAAACCAGTTCTACAGGGAGGGAGAAAGTCACTGTGGAAGTGATCACTTCATAGCTGAGGTCATGGGCTCACTGCAAGTAGGCGAAAGCAATAAAAAGGAGACGCCAGAATCTCCTGTGTACACATATACTCTCTCTATCTACACACAAATATGCTACAGTATTTCCACATTACCTTGTGGCTTTACAGTAGTTGATGCCATGACACCAGGTGTCATCCCTTTCAGATTCCCTCCTGGCAAACAGGCTGCAACTAGTCATTATAATGTCTGGCCTAGAAGTTCAGCTTAGCCTTGCTGCGCTCCGTCATACGCGTGTGTGCACTCATCTGAGCGTATACGAAGCCACAGCACTCACTGCTTTTGGGTTTCTCTGTATTGGCATCCTGGTTTCCATCCCTTGCCAGCTCCACACTCCACCTCTTCTCATTGCCTGTCCCCAGCACCAACTCCTTTAGCTCTGAAACCTGCTGTCCTTGCTCTGATCCCCGCTGTAGCCACACAACCCAGCCATGCACCTCCAGGCCAGGCCACTTTCTGTACTTGAGCCTGTCAAGATTTTGATTTTAGAAGTCATAAATTCTAATTCAACTGCTCAAATGCATGTGTCTAATGCCACTTTAGGTACTCCAAGGAAACCTGACTGATCCGAGGCCTCTTTTTCAAAAGGTTGTGAAGAGTTCTGTGTCGTCCCCGCCAGCTCATGCAGGCATCCATACACTCCCTGGCACTTGTCCAATGGATCACAATCCGTCTTTCATGTGCACAGCAGTCAGTACAAAAACTACTTCATGCGAAGGAAGAAACCACATATTTTAGAGCCCAGTCCCCAATATTTCAATTTTATCACTTTTTATATTTCACAAACTTCAAAAGACATCTTTATTACTCTGAATCCTTGTTAATGTAACTCTCTCCATTAAACATACTGTAAGAGTCCTGTTTAGTATCTTATTTTTGGCCAACTAAGATTACTAGATGCTGTACTTTTGAGAGTCCTTCCATACAATGGGCAGTTACCTCTAAAAAATAGATACTTCGATAGCTTTATGATCCTATTGAACTTTACACAATGAGCCAAGTGTTAATTTCATTCTTTCCACAGTTCTGTAGAGAGTAGTACCACATCATTTAGTAGTTTATCATCTCCTATTTTCTCTGTTTCATTCTATGCTCTGTACTTTGTAGTTCTTTCTCCTCCTTAGATTCTGTTTTATGTGTGACTTATTTGACAATTCTCCATTTCCTTTTGAGTTTTATTGCCCTTTTCTATTGTACTGATTGCTTCTGCTCTGTAGGTTTTTGTCACTGTCAGCAGATCTCTCAGCCCTTATTGCACACTCCTTCTTTTGGGTAACCTATATAGAAACGAACAGAACAGATCCTAACTAAAATCATTGTATTGGTCTGCTCGTTTCATCAATTCATCATGAAGCACTTTCTCTTACTAGGCACTAGTAAGGTATGCCAATAAGGTCACTGACCTGATGTAAGGGTTTTTTAATTTGTCATTTTATCAAAGTTCCCCATAAGAAAATGTAGATTTAGACTCGATGATCTTTCAAGGTCCCTTCCAACCATCAACATTCTGTGACTCTGTGAACAATCCGTGCATATTAACTTCCCAGGAAACTCCATCTCCTGTTGTTTCCTCAAAATATTCTGATAGCTTTATTAAAAGTCTTATCTTGAAATAAAAAGTACATGCCTTCTTCTAGGTCATACATAACCTTTGTCTTTATGCCCCTTAAAAAGTTCCATCCCTTATTCTTCTTCCGCCAACTTGGTGCCTCCACATATCGCCACACGTACTGTGTGTGCTTCTCAGGACTAAATTAAGTAGTTTCACTAATGAAGACGATTAAGCTGCACCTTCAGTGAGATGAGGCAAACAACGTTAGGCCTCACAAATCAGTGCTCAAGATGTAAAAATTGTTGCACCGCTCATGCAGATCATGATGATCCAGTCGTTAGCAAGCAGGAACTTTTGAAAAGCTTTTAAGGAACCCCAATGAATAGTAGGCAGCATTAGGCATCCAGTGGGGTTCAAGTTCAATCAAAACTGCCTGCTGTGCTGTGGATTTGTAGACTGAGATCAAATCTTCCGTTTACAACTACCCATCCTTTTTTAGCCATTGCTGGAGTGGGCTTTCAGCTGATTTCTGGGTTTGTAGGTTGGAACTAGCATCAACACACAGATTCAGAACTGGTTGTTCAAATCCATCCCCAAATGACTTCTTTCCGTGTCCAACATAGAGAATGCTGATTCCAAAGACTTAAGCAGTTACACATGCTGCGCCAGGAACATATTTGGCTCTTTAAGTCCTGAGATAAAAAAAAAAAAAATCCACCTTTCACCAGAAAACAAACCCAAACGAGTTGGTTTCTCTAAGGATTAAAAGAAGGCTAAAAAATGTACAAGCTATCCAAGCTGATTTGATAGAAAACCATGGATTCAATCAAGCTGGATATTCACATGCCTGTATAACACACATGTCCTATGTAATAGTTGTGGTTTTTAATTATTTTCTCTTCCTAGGAAATAAGAGTATGTGGAGTCAAGTGTAAGCAAGTCTTTAAGAAGGTACAGTGAGTCTACTGCTGATACAGAAGTGAAGAACTGTAGAATTTACAGACTTCCCACCAAGTCTCCAAATACTAGTAATGAACATCACCAGTGACGAGAGCAAGTACAGAAATGCAGATCACATTAGAACTGTATAGCGAGAAGAAGATATTTTCAACAAATCATTTTAAAGAAATGGCTGCAAATAGAACTATTTTTAGAAATGCCAATTAAAGATACTAAACACTACGAATGTGTGCGCACCGTAATTCTTGACCCCGCATTTTCAGGGAGCTGATCAGTGAGGAAGTTGCTGCGGCAGAGCCTTTCTCGTCTCTGCTGTACGTCCTGTCTGTAGCATCGCTTTTGCCTTCTTTGGGAACCCAGCAATGAGACAAGGAAATTTTAGACAGGTAAACGGGAACAAGCGCTGCCATTCGCTACTAACCAGAGGTGGTTTTGAAATATGCACTGCTATTAAGCCTGTTTAGAAAATCTAGCAGCCTGATCTAACGTGTAGAAGAAGTGGAGGTTCAGAAACAGTCATTATAAAGTTTGTACAGCAGGGAAGATAAATTTTCTGACCTACGGTATTTCAACCATCCCACACATATTATGAGTGTAGCACTCGATGTGCTGTAATGTACAACTAATTCCATTTTGTGAAGTCTTGCTTTTTGCTTTACATCAGAAAGTGCCTAGGCTTAAGCACCTCCCTGTGATAAACAGGTAGGTGAAAATTCCTCCCTCTCATGTAAATTCTTGCATTTCTTTCCTCATACTACTCAGAATTACAGACACCACAGGTAATGTAATAATCTACTTTAAATTCCCTTGTCATTTTTCTCTTGGCAATACATAATACTCATGCCTAAGAAAGACTCTGGGAAGAACCCAGAACGTGCAGAAGCTGATTTTCTCTCAAAAGCTTGTGTTACCCATGTAGCTACGTTTCCATAAGTGGAAATCCCTCCTGACCGATACACAGAGCAGCAGTTAATGGTGATTAGGTTTTCTTGTACTTGGAATGGGAGAGGCCAAATATTGTCAAATAAGATAGAAAGGGTGTGAGGAGGGAAAAGGATAGGGAACCTGTATACCTTGGGTTTAAAACACTGCTCTGCTTCAGCAAAATTGCAAATAGATGTCTACTTAAAATGTTGTTTGTCACCATACACAGGACTGGGGATATCCCAGTTGCCAAATTCCATTGGGACAGTCACTTGTTTCCTTGAAAGATTATTGGAAACAGAAGCTTCTTGCCCTCAAGTTTCTAAATTATTGATTTCGTAACCATGCACATCCTCCAGATATCACTCCACTCTTAGCCCCAAGGAAAGCAAGAGAACAGAAAATCAAGAATGAACTCCAACTTCTCCTTTATAAGAGATCTTAATTTTTTCAGATCACCTATATCTTCCTTCTCATGTGAAAGCTGAAACTACAACAAAGACATGGTTCACACCACCATCCACAGTTAAACTTTGCATAATTCTTTTTAATGTTCAGCACTGACTGAGACTTTCTTTTGAAATACAGCTTTCCTTCAGTAGAACTTGGCAGTTCATAACCCTTAATTTACCAGATGTCTTCTAATTTTTGCCTGCAGCTCCCTGCAGTCTTGTATAACATTCACAAACTCTTTTTGCAGAAGGTTGTAAGGAGATCAATTAACATCTAGCTAAGTAAATCCAGTTGTTAAAAGCTATTATTATTGTAATCAAACAGACAGCTTTTCCCTTTTGGGTCATTTGGTACAAGGGCAAATATAGCACTGTACTAATAACTAATGTCTTATCAACCAGAAGCAACGTAACCTGCTTCTAATTATGGAAAAGAGGCAACTCAGGAAGTATTTCCACGGTTCACACGCATAAAATACAGAAACTTCAGAAATATTTAACTTCGAATATCTTCTCTTCAAATCATCTCAATTGCTTGGTATTATAATTGTAATCTCTTGTCTCTACTGCAGCAACCATTTCCCCCGGAAAAGGAAATTGCATTCATTCATTGCTTCCATGAGGATGCTCTCCAAATAATGCATATAAAATTAGCCATGCTGTTTCCATAAACCTGTAAGAGTTTGATTTCATGAAATGCCATTTAAAACCTCCTTCATAAAATAGCTGCTTACTGAATGTGTAACATTCGATGATTACTTAACAAACATCACCCTCCCCGCCTGTTTTTGAAGCTACTTATCAGCCAAGACCTTCATAGTGAATTCATATCCAGATTTGCTTATTCCTCATATTCATATTATGGATCGTCCACAGAACTTGAGCTATGATTGCCAGTACCAACCCTGTATTTCTGCACAACAGCATTACTTCCAGATAATGGACAGAAAGGCCAAAAGGTGGATGCCATCACAGATTAAGCTCTATACAGAAAACTCTAGGAGACAAAAGCTGAGTAAATTAAGGCCAATGCATTCCATAAGCATCCTTATTCTACTTCTTCACGTCCCACACTTTGGGCTTTTGTATCAGTTTCTCGGTGGGTACGATCTGAAGATGACTGAGGAAATCACTGCCACCTTTTATAGTCCTGTGGCTTTTCAGTGAAGGGCACACACAGAAAGAACACACAAAGGCACGTTGCGTGTGCCAAGTTTCAGCTTTATGAAAGAAGAAGAGAGAGAAGCATGTTTTTGGCAAGCACAGTGCAACAGAGCCTGAAAGTTCAGGATGGCCAAACTTACTGTGAAAACAGAAGCAGCTATGAGAAACCTGCTTAGTTTTGCTGAAGACACAGAGAATTAAAAAAACATAAGGGATAAACCAACCTTAATCTAGTAAGAAGGTCTGGAATACACTTAATTTTTCTACAGGCTTTCTTCTAATTCCTCCTACCCGAATTTCACAATTTTTCCATATATCTCTGTAATTGTTTTCTCTGGAAACTGCCCTACTGTACACAAGGCTTACCTTTCCCCAGGGAATGCTCCCAGTAGCTAAACCATATTCTTTTCTGCTCATCAGGTACAGAACTGAAAGACTTCGTAGTGGCATGATCTGTAAAGAAAATAGGACGGTCTTTTAAAAGAGGAGGGTGAAGGATGAGAAAGAGAGAAGAAAAATTAGCAGTGGTAATATTTCTTAGCAAGTTGATTATGTTTGATCTAATAGCATAATCTGTACAGATGATATTTTCATTTGGAAAATGATTTGTTTTCTGTTTTGTATGAATAATTCAAAACATATGTATTAATTTTAGTGGGACAAATTAGGGTATAAAACGTTTATCTCAGTACTTGAAGACTGGATATTTGATAGGAGTGCAAATGTAATCTAATCTATACAAAATACATGCACGTCTAAGGAGTGGAGGGTTTTTTTCTGTACTCTAGAAATCCAGGAATTTTTTAAAAGATACCAAAATATTTTGCTGGCACAAGAGAACACATACTAAACCAGATTCCATTATCTTAAGAGGTATTTTTATACTAATTAATATTAGTATTAGAAATGACTGATAATAACTAATCCTGTGAAATGCCTTTAATGTTGCTGGAGCATTTCATCTTCAGATACACTCTGTAGTGCCGTGTATGCAGAACATTACCCTTTGTGATTTCCACATGGTACAATTAGCATTACAGCACAATGTTCTCCCAGCCTGAACTGATATGTAACTCAAGCCAGAAGATGTTATCTCTGTATTTAATAGCCTTCGCCATATTTTTCTTTCATAAAACTTTCCAGTCACTTTGGGGATCAATGTAAGCTTTTAACAAACACAGCGGCCTTCGTCAATTGTTGAGAAAATGCCTCTTCATGTTTGATTGAACCTGCTACCTGCTACTATAATTCCTCCTAATTCTTGTACTGCAAGTGATTACAAACAGCCATTCCCTATTTCACTCAGATTTCCCTATTTCCACTCAGATTTCCCTATTTCCACTCAGATTTTCTTCACCCCTAGTACCCAAGTAAGATATGTGTTCTAACAGAATCAGAGTCGTATAAACTTCATTCCTAGAGGCTTTTTTTTAAAGTACCAGAAGATCCCAGCCTTCCCATTTCAGTCCACACTGCTGAGATACTCCATGGAAACACACAGACTAAGAACTCCTACCATCTAATCAATGGAAAACAAAACTGAAGTAAGGCTTAGGGTTGCAGTCCACATTTATGCGTCTAGGAAAGATGGGAAATAATTGCTTAGTGTGATCTATGTAGCAGTTTTACTGTAAAATAGGCATAAGTGGGCTGATTGGCAAACACCTCGTAACAAGAAGGTGCATTGGATTCCTAAAGTCTCTTTCGTGGGACTGAGTGGCAGAGGGGGATAGTCTGCTGGCATGGCATGAATTACAGACTCCACTAGACACACTCATTTTCATCAGTGTCTATACTTTGGTTGACGTTACTATATTAAAGTTAAGTGGACAGTAAAAAGTTCTCCACTACAATATTAATCAAACTTCCTAATATGTATCATATTGTATTATACTCTTTTTGGGGGCATGGTCTCACCTGTAAAAAGCATAAGAGATTCATGGCCAGTCATCCTTTCATCCTCTATTTGTAACACATTTGCCTTGGAATACTACCCATGTGGTACTGCTACTTCTATGTTAAGGAGGTTTTTCTCACCTCAAACCAAATGTTTATTTATTTCAGTAATTTATTCCTGTCTAGCAAAAGTGCACACAAAGTAGAGTCCCTTCAATACTATGTGTTTTGTTACCACGGCAAGCACTTTCTCTATATTAATAGCTAATAATAAGCATCCATACCAAACACTCCCACAGAATCGCTTCAAAAGAATTGCCTGAAGATTAAGTTTCTACACCATGGAGGCAGAATAAAATCCTTTCAAGTGCCACATTCTTATTAAAGGAGGGGAGGATAGAAGGATGGGAAACGGTGTGTGGGTACTGACTCTACAGTTATTTATATAGCAAGAGACCATTTATCTCATGGTAAAACGCTATTCTGATGTTAAGCAAATTCAATATTGCAAAAAGAGCATTTCAAATTTGAAAAAAAAATATTTAGACGTTCTTGCTAGTTCAAGATTGGAGCAGAAGCATGAGCAACTAGTTACAGGTGCACAGGCATGATCGAGTAGCTAACGTTTGGAACTTGTTTGTGCATATGCAGAAATCTACAGAGCATGATTATCAGCAGTAAACTGCAAAGATGTGCTGTTCTTAAAAAAGCTTTTATCAACATTGCAAAATCATTTTAAGAGCTTTCCTGTAACTGTCTGGCTCTTTCCCCTCTCAGCTACACAAA